TAGTTAGAACAAATTAAATATTTGTCATAGTGGATACATGTGAATCTCAACCAAGGGAGGGGAATATTTCAAGAAGAGAAGAATCAAATCTTGCAGATTGGTGAAGGAAAAAAAACTCTAGAGAATTTTTTTTTGGATTTGACAGGCAATCCTTGGTGGTTTAAGTATGAGTAAATTGAGTACAGGGATGGGAATAGAAACCAGATTGCAGTTGCTAGAGAGTAAATGGAAGATGGGAAAGTGAAGACACCAATGTAGAACACTCTTTCAGGAGGTTTAGATAAGCTGAAAGAATTTTGACCCTCTGCTACGGTTTGAATTGTGTTCCCCCAAAATATGTGTTGTAAATCCTAGCCTCTATGCCGGTGGTTTTACTCCCATTTGGGAATGGGTTGTCTTTGTGAAATTAATGAGACAGGATTAGTGTAGGGTATGTCTTAAATCAATCTCTTTGAAGATATAAAAGAGATTGAAACAAGCAAGCAAAAGAAGCAGAGACAGGGGAAGAGAGATGTCAAGCCACATGATGATAGCCCGGGAGCAGAAGTTCAGAAGAGCAAGGACCTTTCTCCAGAGCTGACAGAGACGGAAAGCCTTCCTCTAAATCTGGCACCCTGAACTCAGACTTCTAGCCTCATAAACTGTGAGAAAATAAACTTCTGTTTGTTAAAGCCACCCACTTGTGGTATTTCTGTTATAGCAGCACTAGATGACTAAGACACCCTCTGACTGTTCTATCTATTTATTATTGCAGTGTAGTATAATGGATGAGAGCCTGGGCTGGCCCACTTAAAGCATTTGCATGACTTTGGGCAAGTTGCTTAGTCTGGCTACACCCCAGTTTTGCACCTATAAAATGGGGATCATAAACGTACCTTCTACCTCCTGAAGGTGCAGTGAGGATTAAAGTTGTTAATATAGAGAGAGCATGTAGTAGTCTTACAGCGTATTTCCCAGCACACAGAGAGTGGTCTGTAATTGTTACCTTCTTGTAGTTAGTCTGTGCCAGGTGCTGTGTTAAGCACGTCACATGCGTTATCTCATGGACTCACTGGAAGAGTTATTGTTAGGTACATTTTGCAGATGATACAACGGAGGCTCAGAGGTGACATAACTTGCTCAGTGTCACACAGCTAGCAGGTGGTATTGGTTCAGCCTTGTCAAATTTGGTAATGACCTCCCAAAAACTGAGGATTGGGACCCTTGTTTTATTTTTC